CCCCAATGTCTTCTCGTTCGCTCCATGTCCCAATGTCCCCCATGTCCCCCATGTTTGTCACGTCCCCAATGTCTCCTTTGTGTCCCCCACGTCCCCAATGTCCCCCACGTCCCTCTGTGTCCCCAATGTGTCCCCAATGTCCCCTTCGTGTCCCCTCCATGTCCCCTGTGTCCCCATGTCCCCCACGTCCCACATGTCCCCCCATGTTCCTCATGTTTGTCGTGTCCCCGATGTCTCCATGTTCTCTCCATGTCCCAATGTCCCCCACGTCCCACTGTGTCCCCCACGTCCCCAATGTCTCCTTTGTGTCCCCCACATCCCTCTGTGTCCCCAATGTGTCCCCAATGTCCCCTCCATGTCCCCTGTGTCCCCATGTCCCCCACGTCCCGCACGTCCCCCCGTGTCCCCCATGTTTGCCGTGTCCCCAATGTCTCCATGTTCTCTCCATGTCCCAATGTCCCCCATGTCCCCCATGTTTGTCACGTCCCCAATGTCTCCTTTGTGTCCCCCACGTCCCCCATGTCCCCCACGTCCCTCTGTGTCCCCAATGTGTCCCCGTGTCCCCCATGTTTGCCGTGTCCCCAATGTCTCCATGTTCTCTCCATGTCCCAATGTCCCCCATGTCCCCCATGTTTGTCACGTCCCCAATGTCTCCTTTGTGTCCCCCACGTCCCCCATGTCCCCCACGTCCCTCTGTGTCCCCAATGTGTCCCCGTGTCCCCCATGTTTGCCGTGTCCCCAATGTCTCCATGTTCTCTCCATGTCCCAATGTCCCCCATGTCCCCCATGTTTGTCACGTCCCCAATGTCTCCTTTGTGTCCCCCACGTCCCCCATGTCCCCCACGTCCCTCTGTGTCCCCAATGTGTCCCCGTGTCCCCCATGTTTGCCGTGTCCCCAATGTCTCCATGTTCTCTCCATGTCCCAATGTCCCCCATGTCCCCCATGTTTGTCACGTCCCCAATGTCTCCTTTGTGTCCCCCACGTCCCCCATGTCCCCCACGTCCCTCTGTGTCCCCAATGTGTCCCCGTGTCCCCCATGTTTGCCGTGTCCCCAATGTCTCCATGTTCTCTCCATGTCCCAATGTCCCCCATGTCCCCCATGTTTGTCACGTCCCCAATGTCTCCTTTGTGTCCCCCACGTCCCCCATGTCCCCCACGTCCCTCTGTGTCCCCAATGTGTCCCCGTGTCCCCCATGTTTGCCGTGTCCCCAATGTCTCCATGTTCTCTCCATGTCCCAATGTCCCCCATGTCCCCCATGTTTGTCACGTCCCCAATGTCTCCTTTGTGTCCCCCACGTCCCCCATGTCCCCCACGTCCCTCTGTGTCCCCAATGTGTCCCCGTGTCCCCCATGTTTGCCGTGTCCCCAATGTCTCCATGTTCTCTCCATGTCCCAATGTCCCCCATGTCCCCCATGTTTGTCACGTCCCCAATGTCTCCTTTGTGTCCCCCACGTCCCCCATGTCCCCCACGTCCCTCTGTGTCCCCAATGTGTCCCCGTGTCCCCCATGTTTGCCGTGTCCCCAATGTCTCCATGTTCTCTCCATGTCCCAATGTCCCCCATGTCCCCCATGTTTGTCACGTCCCCAATGTCTCCTTTGTGTCCCCCACGTCCCCCATGTCCCCCACGTCCCTCTGTGTCCCCAATGTGTCCCCGTGTCCCCCATGTTTGCCGTGTCCCCAATGTCTCCATGTTCTCTCCATGTCCCAATGTCCCCCATGTCCCCCATGTTTGTCACGTCCCCAATGTCTCCTTTGTGTCCCCCACGTCCCCCATGTCCCCCACGTCCCTCTGTGTCCCCAATGTGTCCCCGTGTCCCCCATGTTTGCCGTGTCCCCAATGTCTCCATGTTCTCTCCATGTCCCAATGTCCCCCATGTCCCCCATGTTTGTCACGTCCCCAATGTCTCCTTTGTGTCCCCCACGTCCCCCATGTCCCCCACGTCCCTCTGTGTCCCCAATGTGTCCCCGTGTCCCCCATGTTTGCCGTGTCCCCAATGTCTCCATGTTCTCTCCATGTCCCAATGTCCCCCATGTCCCCCATGTTTGTCACGTCCCCAATGTCTCCTTTGTGTCCCCCACGTCCCCCATGTCCCCCACGTCCCTCTGTGTCCCCAATGTGTCCCCAACATCCCCGTGTCCCCTCCATGTCCCCCACGTCCCACATGTCCCCCCATGTTCCTCATGTTTGTCGTGTCCCCGATGTCTCCATGTTCTCTCCATGTCCCAATGTCCCCCATGTCCCCCATGTTTGTCACGTCCCCAATGTCTCCTTTGTGTCCCCCACGTCCCCAATGTCCCCCACGTCCCTCTGTGTCCCCAATGTGTCCCCAATGTCCCCCTGTC